GATGTCAAAAGAACAAGGAGGAGTGCAGCAGGAAAAGAGAGATGAACAAAAGCAACTTGTGCAGTTCTGTAGGAAACATCACAGGCAGATTCCACACCCAGGCAAATAAAGTTCCCACCTTTAGACCTTAGTGTTTTACCTCCAAATGAAAACAACAACCAAACTCAACTAGGCTACACTTAATATCTCAAGAAGCATAGGAAGGAACTTATAAGATCAGCTATGAGAGCCATATTCTATTACTGAGTTTCTAGGATATACAATGCAGGTTCTGAGATGCCAAAAGGCTCAAGCTTGTCTAAAAAGATAAATCAACTAAGTTAATAAGCTGTTTGATTACTTACTCCTCATAGAACATCTATGTCTTCCTGCTATTAAGGAAAGTTATGCCACAGCAAACCTGTTAATTGGTTTCTCCCAGCTTGAACCAATGCTCTTCCCCTCCTTAGTTTGCTCATGTGCACAAACACAGCTCTAGCATGAACAGAAGAACCAAAGCACCAGTTACATGCTCCTCTCCAAACTGAATCACTCACCAACTGGGATGTTTGAGGTCGTGACAGCTGTAGCATGGGAAGAATGGGAGGGCATTGTCATGGTGACAATGGTGCTTGTAGGCGCTTGGGTGTGAGAGACAGAACCTAAAGAAAGAAAACAAAACATGCAAGATCTTTCTACAGAGCCCTGTCACACCAGTCCATCTACAGCCAAACAAAGAGGCCAAACCCCCCAACCCACACAACCTCCCTCAAGAACCCAGTAATTTCTCTTCTGAAGTCTGCTCACACACTTCCAAATGGAGCCTTTACCATAAAGAATTACTCAGAATTAACTGAGTTCCATCCTCGAGGAGGAAAACCAACAAAAAGCAGCGACAAAAGCCACACCCACAACTCTCCCACAGCAGCACCAGGAACACTCACCAGCTGTGGTTGCTGAAGCAATGGTATTTGTTGCCAAAATAGGTGCCACTGTTGCTGCTGCCACTGGAGTACCCGTGCTGAAAATGGTTTTCTATGAAAAGCAAAGGATCAGGTTAGAAGAGTGGTACATTTAAAATACATACTTAGGATGGAGTCACGCTGCACCGCCTGTAAAAGCCCATGAATTTATAACCTCTACACTAACTCTTTTCCCACATTTCATCTTAGCCTTCAATACATAAACAAAAGAGGTCCAGAAGAAGCAGGGTTTGTTGTCTGTTCCCCCTCCCTGCAGCTTACCTGGGCCATGGTGTGGAGCTGTGGCTTCTGCGCCCCGATGGCGGGGTGGGAGGGCAGCGTGATGCGGGTGGCCGCGTCCCTCGGCTGAGCAGGACGCTGGATGCTGATGGCTGCAGAAGGAGGGTGCTGCTGGATAGACAGGGTGGGTCGGCTGGAGAGGAACAAAAACAATCATGAAGATCACCACGGGGGTGTTAGAAATGAAATATAGAACACAGGGACACGTGTCAGGCCTGGGTCTCCTCCCCTGTGAGAGCGGCGCTGCCGGCAAGCGCCTGGTAAAGCTGCACTAAGAAATCTGAACCACTGCCCTGTCCTCACCTGCCCTACGTACCTAGCTAGGAGGGCACACTTCTCAGTAACTCCTATCAGCTCAGGAAAGAGTTTCTGTCAGGGATGCTTTCCAGCACTCATGTGTCAGTTTTCACCGTGTCGTCATTAAGAAAAAAAAGATGGGCTGCAATAGCTACAAGTTCCTCTAACAGAAACTCTGCTTCCCGAGAAGCAGGACCTCAAAACTGATTCACTAAGGTCTTTCCTCCCCAGAACACAACCAACAGCTCACGTTTAGAGTCATTTTTCTTTTCCCTCACACTGTGCAGGCATTAGTACCTCTATATGCCACCATCCTGCCTGGAGAGGATTATCAGCTCTGGGTGACTGAGACCTACACTCCCCTCCCCTCCCCGACGACTTGAAAGCCTCTTTACCTGAGGGTGGACTCTGTAGCATGTGCTGCTGTGGTGGTTATAACAGGGGACTGAGCCCTTGTGGCTGAGACAGTTGCCACCACGGCAGGAGGAATAGTGCTTGAAGTTGTCACAGGAGGGCGAGACTGTAAAAACAGGTCAAAGAGACACACTCAGAGAAGAGATTCTGCTGTTCAGGGACTAACTAGGAATCACTGGGCTAAGACTGGTTTTCCTGCACCTTATCACTACGTTTTGGCATTCTAACACATTTCCAGTCTTTCTGAATTGGTCTGAGAGCTCCTAAGCAGACCCACCCTCAATTTCAGAGCATGTACATCACAGGAACTGGTCATCAACAAAGTGAACAAGACCAGGTCTCTTGAAGGTCTTTAGAAAAAACCCAAAGGTCAGTTCCCCTCAGAATGAAAAGAAGCTGGGATCCAAGTATACACAGGAAATCCAAAGTGATTCCAGCAGGATCTGAACTGACAGCACCGAGATGTTTAACCCTTTATCCTACTACTGAACACTGGTGCTGCAGGGAGACAATACCCACAATCTTCCTCTCACATGTGTACATCAGCAGAGGATGCACTGAAGCATATTAAAATGAGATTCTAAAAATTCTGTGTCAATGCATACATTACAGAGTAAATCACAACGAGTGTACTGCACCAGGCTTTTCAGGATTTAAAACCTGACTGTCTGAACTAAACCCTCCTCCCAGCTTCCAAGCACTTCAGAGATGGTTAAAAACCCAATTTCTGACACCAAGTCTACGAGGGAAATAAAACCACAGGACTAATGCAACTATTTCACCTCTTGCTGTTAGGAACTGGTACCCAAGAAACAGAACTGGGAGAGAACTGACAGTGGCCCCAGCCCAGTAAAGCCACAGCTGAAGGTGACACATTGCAAGCGAGTGCCAGGAAGAGTCTGGAGCTGGTGGCCAGCGTGCTACCTGCCTGGATTGGCTGATGGATGATGTGCTGGACTGCTGGCTGGGCTGTAGCTGCATTTGGCAACTGGGAAGCTGGTCTCAGGACTGTGGTTACTTTAGAACTGGACATCACTGCAGCAGCTGCTGCCCCTGGGAAACAAACCAAGAGTGTTAAAACCCCGTGCACCCAAACGGCTCCACGATGGCCACAGGGAGACTCTGGCATCAGCTGGTGTCTGTCTCATGCATCCCAGATCTATGTCAATTCAGGTCATGCTGGTTTAAAACAAGGCTTGCAACAAACTCATCTAAGGTTCATCAATGTATGTGGAGAAGGAGAGGTATCATTTTAAATGAATTAGCTTTACAGATACTTCTCACTCCCCTATAACAACCTTACACTGCACATCCAAGCTTTTTTTATTCTAAGCTATGGAAGTCAGCAGAATTATTCAGTTTGATTACTGGGCTAATATGTAAATAAATCACCTGATACCAACAGTAATCCCACTGCACCTGATGAAGCTCAGAAGAAAAGTACACATGCAGTAGAAGAAAACCCAAAATAAAAAAATCTTTTAAAGCTGCAATTTGATTAATTATCTACAACTTGCTGTCTCCTGGTCATAAGAAATCACTGTAGAAGGCAAACAGCCTTGAAATCATTTGATGGACTAGAATGCTAACTTCTGTAGATGTCTAATCAAAATGATCACCTCAAAAGTTAATATTCACACTGCAAAAAGAAAGAGGAGGAAGAAAAAAAGGAAATGTGCACTAAGTGACAATGTAAAGATCGTGGCAGCTGCCCCACAAGAATCCAGTGAACATCAGTACACTTTATGTGAGCTACAAATAAAGCTGCAAAGTCCTTCCACCTGCTCTGGTGGGTGAATCCTGAGAAGATTGGGTCTTTGTTCATGTCAATTTATTTTTTCTTGAGTCACTAAGTAAAATCAAGTGTGAAAGGAGATAAAAAATGTAAACAGTGCCATGAAATCAGATCAGTAACTAGAGACCTAACTGATAAGTTTTTGGAAGTAAAGCTACTGTCAGAAATCAGATGGACTCTATTGAGCTCAGGGCTTCTTTGAGAGGGCTGATCTCCTATTTTGTAAGTTGTAGCAACCAAAACCCTGGGGCACAAGAGCCTGGAGGTACCACCAGCATTTATGGTGTGTCAGCAAGCACCACAGTGCACAGGTGAGCCTGTGACAGGGGTACAGGAACACCAGCCCCCAGGAGCCACAGAGGAGTGGCACGTGCTACCAGGAACACACGTGACATTCTGCAGGACAAGTCTGTACCAGTGTCTGTTTTCTCTTGAAAGCATTTGCTGCTGTGACAGCACAGAACAGAGTAACAGCAGCTGGTGCCTGCCAGCACTGCAAACACTCACGGGCCTGCCCCAGGTGGCTGAAGGCAGCAGCTCTGAAAAGGCCAGCAGCCAGCTCCTCACGCTGGCAGTGAACACCTGAGGGGTTAGCTGTGTCAGCAGTGAGGGGGGTTTCTCCCCTGGGGCTGAGAGCAGCAGGCAGGGCAGCAGAGCTGGGGCCTTACCTCGGGGCAGGTGCGAGGCTCCGATGTGCAGCGGCGGCCCGGGAGCGCTGCTCCTGATGATGGACATCTGCACGTTGGTAGCCATGATGTGGTGCAGGTTACTAGGATGGCCCTGCAGGGGTCAAGAAATAACAAACCCCCACATAAACACAGCCTGTTTTGACAAGGATTAGCAGCCACACTGTTACCTTACCTATGCCCCAAAGACAGAAAAGAGATTTTGTAGAAACACTCTGTGTACAAAGGTGGCGTGCACTACAAGATGAGTGGAGAGGCAGATGTTTTGTACCAGCTACAGTAACAGGCTGCTGACGTGGTGTGTGGGAGATGTCAACAGTTCTCTAGTTCACAGACTGATTTTTCTGGTTGGCACACAGGTGATGGTCAGAGAGCCCCCGAGACAGCCCTTCTGCCATCAGTGACACTGAAGGCATGGATTCACACCACCTCCCCAGCCAGGCTGAGAGAATGGTGGGAGCCTGCCAGAAGCAGCAGCAAATCACTGCTATTTTCTTATCATTCTGGACTTCCCAAGGAAATTAATAAAGATAGAAAGGTACTGAAATGGCTGCACATCCTTAGCCAGCCTAACTCAAATCCACCCAAAGGTACTTTACATCACAGCTCTGAGACTTCAGAGGTTTAGTGGTGAGTGTTCTGGCAAACTAGTTTCAAAACACAAGGACTGGCTCTGCAGTCAGAATTTGGGGGGGGAGGGCAGAAATTCGTCAGCACTATCTACACCCTCCCTTCTCAAGTTTTGTCACTAGTGGTTTAATATAAATACACCACAAAACCATGATCTGTTCACCAGTCTCTTCTGATCCATTCCCAAGGGCTGAAGAACACTGCAGTGATGAATCCCAGCACCTTGTCTACACTAGAAATTCTCCAAATGATACTGGGACAGCAGGAGCTTTTAAGGAAAGACTCAGCTGCAGAGCAGGCTTTGGACATGGCTCTGCTGCCACAGCCTCACTGGGACATCGGTCAGATCATTACAGAAACCAGCAGCTTCCTCAAGAGCTAGAGGTACCTGACTCTGAGGTTGAATGCTCCAGCCTGGACTGGAGCCCCAAGCCCGTGGCCACTGCGCGTGGCAGCTCACCCGCCACCCCCCCTGCTGCAGGAGCCCAGCTCCAACATCCCAACCCGGGTGTGGGGCTGACCACGCAGGGAGCTGGGGCAGGAAGAGCAGGACACAGACCTGCTGCCCGCTGATGGTTGCCACGGGGATGGTTGGAGCCTGGGGTATGTTGCTCTCCATGGTGACAGTAACTTGCCCAGGAACTTTGGTGGGAGCGGCGAGCGTGGAGGGCGGGGCGGGCGCGATGGGCCGGCTGGGCATGGTGGGCTTCAGGGGGGGCTGCAACAGACAGAAACCTGGTCAGGCCAAACAGGAGCAACCTCTGAGTGTCAGAGCCTGCAGAGACAGCCAGCTGTGTGCGAGGGCAAGTACAGCGAGGTATGAGGAGAGGAAGGGTTTTGGTCACGTAGAGCTATTTTATTTTCACCTGGCACAAAGAAAGGGCATCATTGGTACCAGAAACGTGCAGCTCCTAACATATACCACAGGTCCTGAGTGGAACCTGTCTGGGCTCTGGTATTGCCCTACAGACACTGGCTGCTAACAGTTAAACAGATAGTCCCATCCACTCCCATTGAGAAAAGGGAAGACTTCAGAAACTGACCAAAATCATTCTGCTCTTAAGAGATACACAAACAACATCACCCTCAAAAATAACACTGTGAGATTACACAGTGCCCTCAGTGCACCATATGGGACAGCTAAACCCACCAGGCAGCAGAGTCAGGAGAAGCACACAAGGAAGGTGTAAGAAACAGGGGCAGGAAAGGTTTTGATGTTATTTATTTTTGCTCAGCACTCTTACTTTGTAATACAGACTGTGTTTTTTCCCTTATGAAATATGAATTTCCCCATTACCTTCATCAGTCCATCCGAAAAGGAGAGGGGCACAGCTGGAGTCAGGTGTGCTGGTGGTGCTGTCACTGTCACAGGGGCACCAGACTGGACAGGGTGGTGCTGGGTCAGCATCTGAACCTGTGGGTAGGGTCGAACCACCACGGGCTCCTGCTTCTCCTCTCGGGGCTGCACAGAGCTGCCAGGGCCCACATGCTCTCGAGGAGCAGCCTCCGAGTCACGACTCGATTCATCACTCACTAGCAAAGAGGAGAAAAAGGAAACTCTGAGAAAAAGGTAAAAAAAGTTAACAAGTTCACACGGTCACCAGCGGGTCAGAGATGGGATGTCAGAAACAGTCCCCTTACAATTAAACATATCCTGATGATGAGAACCTCAGGAACTACAGCCCTGCTTCTGCCAGCTGCCCTCAGGACCGATGGGCCTCACAGTGCTGGGCAAACGGGCCAGCTCTGAGGAGACCATCTCACCACCCTCTTCAGACAGAGACCGACTAATTTTTCTTTCAAGTGAAAAATATGTAATTATCTCACCAAGAGCTGCAAAGACCTGCATCAAACAGGCAGCATTAAAATGTCTTCATCCATTTAATGCATTATGCAGCTGAACACCGAGCTCAAAACCG